CGATAGAGATTTTGCAATTATTACACTAAAATGGAGCGACAAGAGGTGAAATTCTTGCAAATTTTCAAAAAAAATTTTTTTTGCTTGGAGGGGGCTCGGGGGGGGGGGTTCGTTCGCCCGAACCCCCCCTGGCTACGGGCCTGGATTATATTATAGAGATCAGTGACCTCACCACTGGTTGGCAATGACGTCACTACAACTGAGGCTAGCCGTCTATTTGTTGCTACACTTAAAACTGTTTTCCGCACGATAAAATAATTATTTTGTGTTAAAATACCACATTAACTCTCAAGATATATGTGTGTTTTCTCTTTCTTTTTATAATTGTGTAAATATTTGCGAAATACTTCGACTACGAATAGTGTACGTAAACATTGGGACGTAGTAAACATGGCGGCGCTGTGGCGTGACAACCTTTGCTATCTTGATCGTGAAATTTCTAAGAAATGATGTGTTCGTTTTCACTGAATGACATCATCCAGATTCCTGGGCCATCAGGAGAGACTTTCTGGAAGGTTATTTCTTTACGTCATGACCCATACTCTTCCCGCCAGCCCGTGGTTTGGTGGTTTGCAATATCTCGCAGATGACGTTCTTTTCCTGATATTCGAGTGGTGTGATGTGACCACACTAGGTCGGTTGTCGCAGGTGTGTCGTCGCTTTACAAGACTGCTAAACAATGATAACGTCTGGAGCAAACTGACAAAATGCTCGTTAATGACCTGGCATGGTAGCCGGCTCCACAGCGGTCGCTACTAGTAAGTTACCGTTATGCTATCGTAGCGTTTTACGTATCTTGTTGACACCCGATGGCGCCACCAGTCGAAATGTGGTGTATAGCACCAACGTTAGCCTAGGTATTAGGTAAGATAGCACCTACCTAGTTAGCTCTAGTACTATATACTATAGCCCGCGTACATTGACTGCCGCAGTGCTAACTACCTAGTATATCCGGGTGCGTGTGAACTGGCCGTATCGTCGCCACCCGGACTCTGCTAACAGCCGAGCGCCTCGGTGCTACCCACTCTATGGTATTACCACCCGAGCGAATGTTCCAACTCTGGTGCGGTAGTGTGATTAGTCAGCAATGCCAGACGACGGACAGCACACTACAAAACTAGCGGTTCAAGGATAGAGATGATGTCCAGATTGAGACCTATGTCATTTTCGTAAATGTGGGGGGAGCCCCTTTAAAATCGACATGGGAGTTGTTGAAGGTGTTGTTTCTTCATTTCGACCGAGAAACATTATGTCAGTTCACAGTAAGTGTGGAAAAAACTCGAAACTGTTTAAGCGACACTACACGCCCGTTTCCGACCGTTTCTCACCATTACTACACGCGAGAATTTCCCGTCATCTTTCTGTGCTACGGCCCTCAAATCTGTCTGCGTATTTGCGCGCGGCATTTACGGACTACTTGCTCTCCGCATTAAATTATCTGGAAATCCGTTGATATTCGTTGGATTTTTGGAACGTCATAAATAAAATCAGAAATCGTACGCCATTGATGTTGACTGGTCCTTACTGCCCTCTCGCGGCCATCTGGTGATGTATATGAATTCGCCCCCGCCCCCTCTTCTAGCTGCCGCTGGCTGCGCACGTGTGAGTGTCGCTGGGGGCGCGTAAATACACAGTGTACGGGGGAGGGCATACAGTGGTGATAGCCTGCGCGGTATATATACAGCGTTATATATCCAACAAGATAAGGCCAGCGTATATATACAACCAAGATATGATAAGACCCACGCGAACGCCCATTCTTCCAGTTGTCTGTGTGTCGCTGGGCGCATATAGTGGGGGTATAGGGTTAGTGTTAGCATTAGGGTTAGGGTTAGAGTTAGCGTTAGGGTATAGAGTATAGGGTTAGGGTTAGGGTCAGGGTATTAAGCAGGAATATTTTAATTCTTTTACATTTTTAACTTGTTTACATTTCTCAATTTGAAACTTTTCCCATTTCTTTGGCCGTGCAGTTTCAAAACAAACCGTCCAAATCACGGCTGCACGGCTCGCTGGCTAATACGCATACGCACACGACAGGCACACTCACACAGTCTTGCACATACAAACACGCATGCATACACACACACGCACGCACGCACGCACGCGCGCGCGCACATACATACGCAGGCATATAGACACCTAATTTATGCATTCCACCGATCCCCCCTCGCGCTGCCGTTGGCTGCTTGTCACGTGCCTTGCTTTTGATCGCGCCTGTATTATGCTTCCTTCAGTAAGAGTACGGCTGATTCATTCATGCCGCACACGTAATAATGTATGCGAATAATGTGCCTCCGTAGCAACCCAACACCCCTACTAAAGAATAACTAGTCCCATCCAAACTCCCAAACAACGTTTCAACATTTGACCCGTAGGTACGCGCGGGCCGCCGTCGATACGAATTTTTGCATGTAATATTCCACGCCGCCAGCGTCGCGCCGATAGCAAAACCTCCTCTCCACCTAGCTAGAATGCAGGCACACACCTCCCCATTGCTGTTCTCTCATTGGCCACTTGGCAAAAAAACCTCTGACGGCACATAGACATCGCTGATGGTTTAGTAAAAACATATGCTTTCCATAACGTCATTCACAATACATTGACGTGCGTGCGTGACGGGCATACGCTTTTACATATATATATACCTAGATATATATACACACACATGTCCAACACCCCGCTATCTACTTGGCAATATGTATATATATATGCATGTCTACTCCTACGTTTCAGGTATATATATACATAAGCCACAGCGTTCCCATTTTGTTCCCACACTGCCAGCGCTATATATATGTCTATATATATATCGACACACCATGCTGATATAAGGCTCTATATATCTATATGTATATACATACGTATCTAAATGTCTCTAGTCGCTACGTCTATATATACGTCATTGCTAAAGTACATAGTCACAGTCTCCAGTCGCTCGCTTATTTCTATATATATGTGTATATAGACTAATTAATGTCTATATATTGTGTATATAATAATATATATATATATATACATATATCTACATATATCTATATATATATAGATTTTGATATATCTCTATATATAGGTCAGTCGCAGTATAACTACAGTATATATAGCATAGTGGCGCCATCTATCGGAGAAAAAAATCGTCTTTTATTACTGGACATCATCTCTATCCTTGAGCCGATAGATTAACTTATTAACCACATTACTTTGCCTTAGCATTGTACTTGCACAACTTAGCAGAGACTGAGCAGTTCAACCCTCAGCAAGTTGAAGTTTATGTTTCTCTTTTTTCAAGTAAGTATTTTAGTCTTTGGTGTCCTCAAAGATTAAAATACTCAACTCAAAAGTGATATCTTTGTGATGAAGGTTGTTTAATAATGCTGCCTCTCAGAGTGCAGGAAATTGCATCTAAGAGGTGTAATTTTCCAAAACAAATTCCGGTGGAGGGCCCCCGGACCCCGCCTAATCAGGGACCCCTTCCCGAACCCACCTCCATAGTCTATTTTTTCACTATTGTTTGACAAGCATTTTTGTTTTAAAATTTGGCGAGTTAACGTATTGACTCACTCGCCCAGTTTGGCGAGAGGTTTTTATTTTAAAGCTCTAACACTGATAGCCCTGCGGCAACTGTACGCGGGCTATAGTCCTAGAGCTAATCTATCTGCCAACTGAATTAACACAGGCCTCGACGCCTAATTATTTTCAGATCTGTGCAAAATTTACTTGCAATCTATGAGCTGTTAAGGTCCTCTTTTGGTTCAGTGCATATCATATTATCAGGAGTGTATAATATAGAGATCTATATTATATAAATAGATAGATAGGTAGATAGATATGTATATATATAGATAGATCTATATATTATATATAGAGATATATATCGATATTATACACTTCTGATATTACAATATATACATAGAAAATCGTAATGAAATTCACACGATTGTGAAACGCAAACGCATTTCAAAACGAAACGCAAGTAGTGCTAGCACTTTGAGGAATAAATGCATAAATACATAGTGTAAAGTTGTGGAAAGTGTTCAAAGAGATAGGTGAGATGTCCATGTAGATAAATAAGTGTTAAAAAGCCTGATCTTTTTGCGTTTTGTGAGCCATTTTTTGTGGAAGCAGTGTGGAGCAGGTGCAGTTAGGAAAACTGGCATAGAATGTTCTATATAGCTCTGTGGCAACTGTACGCGGGATATAGTCCTAGAGCTAACTACAAACACGACACGGGGCGCGTTGTACTTTATTATTTGTCTAATTAGATCATTTCCAAACTAGTTTTGTATATCCAGTTTCTAGAGAGGTGGTTTAGATACCACCAAAGACTGCTAAATTGCAGTATCGGTGGTACATGCCAATTGGTGTTTTAGCCTAAAATTGAGTGTGTATTTTTTATGTATGGATCCCTCGAACTGATTGCAATTTCTTGATCCTATTGCTATGCATACATGATAATGTATATTATTCTTTAGTATTTCAGCCAAGGAAAGATGCATGATCTCCGAAAACTGGCTGCGTGGAAAGCGGAAAGAGATCCGGCTTGTTAAATATGCATTTAGGTGAGCCTACTGGATGGTGGGGTTCCTATATTTCTATATGTGAGCATTTGCTTACTCTAGACTTAAGCTGGGCTAGAAGTAATGCTGTCTGCTGTGTCACACTCTTTGTTTTGCAGTGCTCCACAAATTATTGTTCATGCATTTACATGGTTTATCAATTAATCCTTAACAGGCCAGCTCTACTGCTAAACTGCTCTATGCCTCTTCTCCTAGTTTTATGGACCTTGCATTAGTGATGTCACGATCATCGATTATACTCGATCATCGGTTGAACAGTGGCTCAAACCAAGCGCTTAGTGATGTCACGATCATCGATTATACTCGATCATCGGTTGAACAGTGGCTCAAACCAAGCGCTTGGTTATCAAAATCCATAATCAATTTCATCAAAAAAAAAAATCTTTTTTTTTTTAAACTTGAACAAGAAAACTTGGAAAAGTGATGAGAATCAGAGATATCATCGCTACTATACAAGTTATCCTTTATTAACATACATGTATTATACACACAGTAGTAAACAGTGCAAAACAAATAGTAAACTGGTCTAAACAAGCACATACATGGCAACCAGACTTGAGCTTCGAAATCGTACCACAGTAATCCTCTTCCCATCGGTGTGAGAATGCGTTTCGCTGAGTAATACACCCTCCAATCGCGGCAGATACAGGACTAAAACGTACGCAGCACGATTTAAATTCTGGTTGCCATTAGCAAAATCCATGCGGCGAGGGAAGCTCATTTGAACAAAAGGCAGGCTAGCTAACCACACTGTCCACTAGGGCTTGCGGATCATCTCACAGCGAGGCGCTGTGGCTTGGCTCTGGCTCGCAGGGTAGATTGGACATCGTTACGCAACACTGGCGAGCTAACCTGATTGCTTTGACCTATTTACAGCTGGCTTATGCAACCCCACGCGCAATTGGGCAGGCAAGCAAAGTCTGGCAGCTCAGAGCCGGCAAAAAAAAGCCGTTTGGGGGGGGGGTTTTTTTTTTAAAATAACCGACCGGCGCATCCATAGCACATCATGAGTCTATAATAAACAGTATCTTTGGTTAGTTAGAAGCTCCTGCTCCACGTGCAATCTGCAGCTGGCGAGGCCACAGCGCCTCGGCCGTGAGCGCACAAGCCGGTGACATGTGTGTTTAGTAGCATGCCTTTTGTTTCAATTGCTTCCTCGGCCACATGGATTTTGCTGGCAACAGTAATTGAAAATCGTGTGGTACGTTTTAGTCTGTATCCTCGGTTGGAGGGTATACTAGGCAAACGATTTCACATTCGATGGGAAGAGGATGTACTGTTGTACGATTTGAGCTCAAGCTTGGTTGCGTTACGCGTAAGTAAATGCGTAGATGGATTATA